AAAATAAAATCACATGATAACCCCATCATTCTTTTACAGAAGAAAACTAGACCAACACAAACAGAAAAAATACCTTCTCATCTAGAAAGGCTCTAATTTTTGACTCTGTAACTTCATCATCATCCTCAGGTGCTGATGCACTACAGGGAAAGGAGAAGTCATTCTCCTCTTTAACTGATACTCCAGCAGTGCCAACAGCTCCACAAATTGCTTCCCCAGAAGATAAATTCAGTCCATATCTGTCCACCTTTGGACTCTCATCAAACTTGCTTGGCCAATCATCAGTAGGTTCACACATTGGATTAAAACTCTGATTCAAGTAAACAAATCAACTTAGCATCATTAAAGCCTCACATTAAAACATGAAATACATGAAAGAACTCAGACTGGATTAGCACCTTAGTTAAATCTGCAGATTCAAAGGTAGAGTTGAATTTTACAGATGCCCTAACCCCAAAATCATCTTTGTCATCTATTAGACACATGTCATCGTCACAATTGTTTGCCCCCCAGTAGGATCCTGCAGATAAACGCTCTGGATACACTGTTGAGCATCTCACGCTACCCATCTCACAAACATCCTTCAAGCCTGAGCAGGTTGACTGTCGTATCAAAGAGTTCATGCTGTAACATCAATAGAGTTCCCAGAGTCAAGATTCAAAAGAACCAGGCATCAACAACCCATGGAAGTTTAAAATCCATGAAAATGGATCACTTACGAGTTCCTGAGATTCATCCCTGGTGTTGCCATCAAATTTCCAGACTCCTGATGATAGAAAAAAGAAAACAATACTAAGATTGACAAAAATGGTCAAAAGAATAAGATGACTCAAATTGATAAAGCTTATTGGATTATATTTACCATGATTGAATTGCGGAATACAAGATGAGATTCCTGATACTTCCCAGTGATGAATGGGTGCTGCACATGTTTAGGAACAGATAGTTATACGACTGAAAAGTTAAATGTTACATTATTTTACATGTCTAAATATATTCTGTTGCAGCATATTGTAAGAGGAAACGAATTTACAATTTGCAGCTACCTGCAGCAAGTCTGTTGCTGTAGGTCTGAAGTCTGGTTCCCTGCCACCACAAATTGATACACATAAGCATTGAAACCAGATCATAATATTTGTGAAATTTAGACTAAAGATAAACTAATGTTTGCCCTTTCAATATTAGTTCCTAAAAAAATTTAAAGCCAAAAAGAATATGAAAAAGGTGGCACAAGAAGAAATGAGAAAAGAATGTACTTCTGCAAGCATTTTAACAGAAAATCCTTTGCTTCAAGAGAGAGATGTTCAGGAATGGGTGGGTGGGATTTAGTTGTTCCAATGTGGAACAGAGCAGCAACCTGAAAGAAACATCATATCTTAGTCAGCAAATTAATGAAAATACTTTGATACATTCTAGCTAGACAGCGCATATATATCAAACTAACAAGGTTTAATAAGTAGTGCAACTTTTGTACCTCTTGATACTGTTGGCTCCATGGAGGCTGTCCTGTAGCCATCTCAATCACAGTACATCCAACACTCCATATATCAGCAGAGCTAAGACAATGAATTTTGAAAATAATGAGCTCCTAAGACCGGAGGAATAGAGAATGCGTGGATAAGATTCTATGTTACCTTACTGTTACTGGAGAAAGTGAAATGAGCAAACATTACATCAGATGATATGCAAGAAATTATAACAAACAAGTTTGGGAAGATTTATCTCTTACTACTCAAACTAAGTTTTTTTTTTTTTTTTTCATCGAAAACCCATAACAACAAAACTCTTAACTGAAATGAAAAGAAAATGTCAACCTCACTGTAGCTTGGACTAAGCTTGGTTGAGTTGAACTCAGTTGAACTGACAAAATCTTACGGTAGTTAGATGCTAAACAACTCACAAGACTCTTCCAAGAACTTAGGACCTAGAATATTCAAACATGATTCACTTCCAAATATCACATAATATTTTCAAATTTATCTTCCTGGAAAATCAATGCTATATCAACTAAACTAACCAGAACTACAAATTTTAACAGCTTCCAAAATGTTGGAGGAAGCAATAAAAGTATCTTCCTCATAGTGATACCTAGAAGGAAAAACATCATCTCTTTAGCTTCAACAAAAATTTTGTGTCATTGCAGCTAATAATTAATTATACAACCTAGCAATTACACTGCATAACCTCCAAAATGAGAAAGATACTGAAAGAAAACCAATAAATGATAATTTCAGCACTCTGAAACATTCTACTTTTCATTATGTTTGGAAAACACATTAAATGACGGCCATCATAGGAATTAGTGTGCCATGTCTCACAAAATAAAACAGTTCGATCAATATAAACCAAATAGAACTTAGAAAGAGAGACATAATTGCACATAAATAAACCTTATAATCTATACGTGTCAAGACAACTACAAATAAATATGAACATCTATAAACATGAAGATGACTTTTTTCTTACAAGCTATGTCCAGTCTGTAGAATAACTTCAGGAGCCATCCAATATGGAGTACCCTTCATTGACTTGGCACCATTTATTGTGGCCTGTACCAACATAGAGACCACATCATGAATACATGCATAAAATATATTTATAAGGACGTCAAAACTTTCTTTTGCAATTGAAATATATATATATTCATACCAGCTCTACGACTTTCTTGGATGCACCAAAGTCCGCAAGTTTAATACACCCCTTATTATCAACAAGAATATTTGCCCCCTGGATGAAACACGTCCATCGTTAGAGTAAGGAATAAGAGAGTGAGTTATAGAGATTTCTTCTCATGAAAGAACAAGAAAAATACCTTAATGTCCCTATGCATAATTCCATTTTTATGAAGATATTCAAGTCCTAATAACAATTGTTTCGCATACATTCTAATAACCTGTAACGCAAACCATTTTGCGAAGTAAAATCAGCACTCAGAAACACCCATATTTTGAATTTTCAGAACTAACAATAATTAATACTTACAGACTCGGGGAAAGATCCGAATTTTCCTAATAGAGATGATATGGAACCACCGGGTACAAATTCCAACAGTATATTCAACGAATCATCCTCTCTGGCAGTTCCCAAATATCTCTAAACATAGCATTAAGGGGTAAAAATATCAGAGAATAAGCAATTGATATCAATTTCACAAAACCTAAAGACATCCTACTTGGTACTTACAACGATGTTTGGGTGTGAAAGATTCTTCAAAAGCTTCACTTCTTCCTCAAGTTCCCTTATGTGTGCCTAAAAGATTTAAAATTAAAAAAAATCACGAATAAGCAAAGATTCAAGTAGACTTGAGCAAGAAGAAATTTTGTTTAGTAAGTAGTTTTTTTTTTTAATCTCCGATTGATCCCAACTTAATGGTACAAAATTCACTACCTGTACAATCTAAAGAAATAAGCTAAATTTATACAAGTAAAACGTTCACCTGTGTTGTTTCTTTTGAAGCACTGCTCGCTGCAATTAAAACCTGTAACCAAAACAAATAAGACAATTCAAAAATCAAATTGAAAACTAAATCCAATTACAATCCTTAACCAGTGAGCAGTATAGTTACCTGTTTAACAGCTAGGAGCTCTCCAGAGTCAAGATTCATCCCCATATAGACCCGACCAAACGCGCCACACCCTATCAACTCACCTTTCCTCCACCGGATCGGCGGCGCTTCGGTTTTCACAATCGGCGGCAGAGCCGGTACCGGCGGTTTACCAAACAAACCGATTCTCGATTTACGAATGCTCGAGCCGATCTTCTCAACCAAGCCGCCGATTCCTACTCCTCCATCGTCTCCCGGTGTCGACCGAAACACCAGGGATCGCCGAACCGATCCGAAAATGTCCTGCATATTAGAGTTCGTGCTCCGGCCTCCAATTATATAGTCTCTTCCTCGGTTATTGTGTTGAAGTCCCTCAATGTTAAGGTTCTGTAAGGCGCATAGTTTGTGATGAAGTGAAACTATGAAAAACAAAAGAGTGAGAGATTTTGAGAGAGAGAGAGAGAGAGAGAGAGAATTTTGAAGGAGGGAAAAGGAGAAGGGATCTATTTTTTTAAAAAAAAAAAAAGAAATGTGGGATAAAATGATGGTGGTGCTGCCCGTTGGGGTTTTGGGGGTATTTATGTAAATTGGTTTGTTGTTTATTTTATGGGCTTGGGCTATGCCTAACGTTTGAATATCTTTTACTTGTCTAACTAATGATACTTGTGTTTGAAATTAGCATCACAAAAAGACTTATTATCATTATCTCCCCTGAGATTTAATAAAATATCAAACAAAACCTGAGTAAACGCCTTTTTCCCACCCAAGCTTTGCTTTAATGTTTTTTCACCCAAAAAGTTTCAAAATACCACTTTCCCACCCAAAGTTTGTATTCCGTTGATTCCCAAAATACATTTCACTTTTCTCAGTAGGCGTTCGACAAGTTACTAGAAGCCAAGGTAAGGGGTTTTTTATAGTAAAGATCGGTGGATAGAATGATAGTGACCAATTGAATATTCACTATCGGAATCAACCAAAAATTAGCTAAGAATAAGAAACCTAGCTTAGGAAATCCTAGCTTTGAGATAGATGACAATCGACAAGAAATCAGATGTTGAAGTGAGAGAGGTTTTGTCAAGAGAAGACCGGATGTTCAAATGGTGGTAACGAAAAGAATTTTCTCGATCGGAATCGGCTTTAGGGAGTAACGAAATATTAGCTTTGGGTGGGATAGTGGTATTTTGAAACTTTTTAGGTAAAAAAGTGTTATTAAGGCAAACCTTGGGTGGGAGAAAGTTAGTTGCTCAAAAAAAAACCTTTATATATATATATATATATAGCTTAAATTTATTGTATGAAATGCAAATGAAGATATTATATCAACTTAAAATTCAAAGTTATAATTAACATTATTTAAAACATAGGTTCGCATCAATATGACTTATCAACAACTAGGAAATACCAAAATTTTATTATTTCATGTTTTTATAAAAAAAAATTAACATATATTGGGTAAAACTACACTAATAAACATTTCTCATTAACTTTTTCTTACAAACGTAACGTATCAGATCATAATTAGTCAATATAATGGGTTCCGTCTAATCAAATGCAAGCTGATTAATTATAAATTTATGAACTATTATATCACGTTTGTAAGAGAAAGTTAATAAGAAGTGTTACCGGTCTGTCTTATTCATATGATATTTTTGAAAATAAGGACCCGGTACGTATATGGATATCCATCCACCTTACCCATTAACAAAACGACGTTAGTGTCGGCCGTTGAAGACAATGAAAGAAAAGAAGGAAGTTCACGTTTCCGATTCCCAAAAAGATACAATCACTTCACTTGAACTGATTTCATTGGTTTCTCTTTACGTCACTTCATTCTTCCCTCCCTCCTAACTCATTATTATAACTCAACGCTATGCCATTAACTCCTCCAAAATTCATGGATATTTTAGGCTCAATTATCGACATGTTTGAGTTGTAAATTTTGTGTTGTTAATATGGGCTTTGATCTTGAATCTGTGTCAGAGGCAACCTCAGGAGCCATTGGAGCTCTGGTTAGCACCACCATTTTGTACCCTCTTGATACTTGCAAGACCAAGTACCAAGCTGAAGTTCGAGCTCAACATCAGCAGAAGTACAGGTTAACTTCATTAAATTATGGATTTTTTTGTTGGGTCCTACTCCTAATGGTGTTTGTTTGAGATATTATTTTAGATATTTTTCACTTTACTAGCTCCACTCGACTCAACTGCCTCTGTTTCTAATGCTTTCTTTTCTTCTAGTTTTCAGTTAATTTACTTATTTATTCTTGAATTATTGAGCTGATAAGATTATTTTGACCAAACTGTTATAAATTATACCGAGAGAAAGGCAAGAACAAATCAAAATTTGAACTTCTGTTGTCCTTGTTATCTAATTATCTTAAGATGTACCATTTGTCTTATATGAATCAAACTGTTATTTTATTAGATGCGTGTTGTTGGTTATAATTTTTAAATTAAGAGAGATTCAAACTTAAGAATAACATATTAAGCATGTTAATTTTTAATTTCATGGAATTAAAATCATGGATGCTGGGATTAAATTCTCCCTCTCTAAATAGGATGATTTATCTAAGTTACATCAGTCCTTTTAATCAAACAAAATGTGATCCTTTGTACCAAGATGGAAGAATTATGACTGATAGTCTGATATTTAAAAAGCATAAGCTTGATTCTGTCACATTCAATTAGTTTGTCTCTTAATTATACCAGAAAATATAAGAGAAATGCAAAGCGAAGATATGATACTCATCTTCCCGGTTTTCATAATGGAATGCCTTTGATGATTTTAACTTAAATTACTGTATTCTCAGCCTGAACTGTTAATTAACTGCAATGATGATTGTTATAGAACATTCCCTCTAAAAATCAGCTGTCTTGTTCAGGAATATTTCAGATGTTCTCTGGGAAGCGATTTCTACTCGACAGGTTCTTTCATTGTATCAGGGCCTGGGAACAAAGAATCTGCAGTCTTTCATTTCACAGTTCATTTACTTCTATGGCTATAGCTTCTTTAAGAGGCTGTATTTGAAGAAAAGTGGTAGCAAAAACATTGGAACAAAAGCAAATTTGATTGTTGCTGCAGCTGCTGGGGCATGTACTGTAATAATAACACAGGTAAGTGAAATTTTGAAGTCCTCTTTTGCTTGTAACTGATAGTATACATCTCTTCTCTTTAGATTTTATGGGGTGTCCTGAACCATGTGGTCTTGGTTTAGAAATTAAAAAATGTTTTGTTATAATATTTTGAACTATAACTCCAGTTCATAGTTTTGAATCCCTATATCCAAACATCACATCAGAAAATTTGTTTCTCTGTATGATCACATTTAACTTTATTGTCTATTTCTGCTTTTTATATATTGACGAGCTCTCCAATTTCAAATGTTGAATTCCCATTCTCTAACATTACTTGTCTTTCAGCCCTTGGATACAGCATCCTCAAAGATGCAGACAAGTGAATTTGGGAAATCCAAAGGACTTTGGAAAAGTCTTTCAGAGACTACTTGGACTGAGGCATTTGACAGTCTTGGCATATCTCTTCTCCTGACAGCAAACCCATCCATCCAGGCATTTGAATCCACCTTTATTTAAAATAGTTTGTATTTATGGCTTTTTCAGAGTAAAATTGGCTTCATTTATCTTATATGAAATCTTAGAGGTTGTATTAGCAATGGTGTGAGTTTGCTATGGACCATTTTTTTTCTTTTCTTTCTTGTTTGAATTCTGGTGATAAATTTTAAAAACCCCAGTAACCCTGAAACAGATGTATTAGTAAAGGAGAGTCTCACTCAAAGCAGAAATTGAAATGAAAGGTGAACAAATATGAACAGTAGATAGCAGCTAACTCCTCATAGGCAAAGTCTCTAAAAGTTTTTAAAAGTAGCAACAGATGGATACATCAAGAGCAGACAGTAGATTTTCATCCTGCCGAAAGTTCTGCTGAAAGTTTGTAACTTCTATTTTCAGTTTACTATATATATTTTTTTTGCTTTTAAGAAATTTTGATGAACATGAAGATGTATGCTGAAACTGGAAGTTTCATGTTGTACAGTACACTGCATTTGATCAGTTGAAACAAAGGCTTCTCAATAGGCGGCTGAAGAGAGAAAGTGCCAAAGAATCAGCCCCAGAAGCTCTTTCTGCGTTTTCTGCTTTCTTGCTTGGTGCAGTCTCAAAATGTATCGCCACATCCTTGACTTACCCGGCTATCAGGTAGATGTCATATTAACCAGTCTTCCTTAACATATAATTGCTCGCAAATAGTTTGTATCCTAATCTAAAGTTTGAATCAAGATGTACCATGTTGTTTTGTCAAACAATTGAAAAATGCATCATTAATCGTTCATGTTGAAGTCATTTTACAGCTCTGTTGACAATGTTAATATATAAATTCTGGCCAGGTGTAAGGTCATGATTCAGGCTGCAGATGAAGACGAAGATGGGATCGAACAAGCTCCATTGAAAAACGAAAAGACAGTCTTAGGTGCAATCTATGCCATTTGGAAAAGGGAAGGTCCCCTGGGTTTTTACAAAGGATTACAAGCCCAGATCCTGAAGACTGTGCTAAGCTCAGCATTGCTTTTAATGATAAAGGAGAAGATCACAAAAACGACATGGGTTCTTATGATTGCCCTTAGGAAATTTTTGTTCATCACCCGCACTAGACTGAAGAATGCTTGATGAAATGCAGAAGTTTATCCATTTTGAATCCTTGTAAATGAAATGGCCCTGACGGATTTGTTCATCCCTAGATGGGTTTGAGGAAATGTAATAATAATTGATGGGGTGTGGAGGCAGTTTCTATTTTCATGAAGAAAGAATGTTACTGCAGCCACAGGGATATTTGTTTTGTTCAATAAAATTATCATGGTTTATTTTGCTACCTCTTAACATAGAAAATTTCACTTACAAATTATAGGTATTCAGATTTTATTTTGTGTTTCAGGATTTGTAAATAATCGAGAGATTGACCAAAGGATCAGTAATTATCAAGGGAATTTGATGGGGAGGCCCAATGTTAAAATGGATTCTTGTTCTCAAAGAACTGGTCGATAGCACATTCCCATGTATTATACAGTATTAATACGCCTCCTCACATATAGGCTGAGCAGAAGAAAAAATACGACAAAGAGGGACGCTAAAAGTTCGGCCGAATATAAGACAAGTCCTAAATCCTAATATCATGAAAGAAAAACAACCCAATAACTTAAAACTTTAAGGTAGAAGACTAAACGATAAATCATGAAGCTATCATGCATTCATACTTCAGTAGCAAGGGAGCACAAAATTTTCAAGAAACTGCTGAAATTAAAGGGCTTGCTATCTGTGGATCCCAAATTCTCATGGAGTATATATCCTATATAAAATGATTATCTATAAATGTGGTTGATTTAAGTTCGGGAGATCTCAATGCCATTAGACAACTAAAATCCACAAGATGACAACAAAAGAAACAAAATGAAATGTCCAAGCAATCATAAACAGACTACATGATGCGTTACACAAAAAGGAATATATGAAAGAAGCTGCAGTAAAGAAAATAGCAATAGATTGTCTTATCCCCCATCCCCACTACAAACTTGAAAAGTTCGAAACTCAGATAACGATTTCAAATACAGATTCTGCTCCACTGAGTTAGCCTCTCTGACATTCCTCCATCATTCAGAACATGAATATAAAAGTAAATAATAAAATGAATTTATCAATACTCAAGAATAGCAAAAACCGGTCACATTTGATAATGTCGTGTTTCCTGTTTTGTTGAAGGGTCTAAACCATCTCTGTATTCTAATATTGCCCCTTTAAGTTGGAACGGTCAAACAAAGATACTCAAGGAAGAAGAGCCATTAACTGCACTTCAGAACATCACTAGAGCACCCATCAGTGAAAACAGTAAGTAGTAAGTGAAACTAATCTTGGAAAGCAAACTGGCTGAATTATCTGTCACATAGCTCCCATCAGGTGTGCTCGTGCTCAAAACAACAACAATCCAGTTACCTTCAGAACCAATACCAACTCCTGTATACTTGGTGTCATTGAGACTCTCTGAGTACTGAGACTGCGTGAAGTTTGAGAGCACAAGACTTGGAGTTAGGCCGGGAACGCAAGCAGGCATGATATTTCCACCCTTTGTGTTGGAGATATTTAAATGGCACTTCGCTAAAAGGTTTGGGTAGTTGGGAAGCTGAGGCTCACTGCCTGACACAGTGTTAGCACCTGTAGAGTTTGTACAGGGTTGATTCTTAAATTGATCAGCAAATTCATAAGCCAGGCACTCTGCATTTTCATTTTTTGTCAAAGCTGTCAAGTTTAAGGATGTCCTATACTTGTTAATGCCCTGAAGAAGTGTTTCCTCCTCATCTGCAGAGAAAATATGGGAGAGAAGAAAAGTTAAGTATCAAAATGTCATTTGGACAGAAATTTGTTTCATGTCATGTTTCTAATAACAATCTATCTAATTGCTTAAAATTAACAATCAGACAGTTCAAATTATGATATCTGCATCAAATCAGAAACAAATTTGAAACATGGGAAGACTTAAGATGGTAAGAATAGAAGTTCACGGGCATTTGGTAACTAAGACAGACTAAGATTGAAGATGTTCAGCGATCTATAGGTTACCGTTACCAGAATGCAACTTCATTACCAAACGTATAGGGAAGCTGACTATATATTTGGAAAATAAGCTGAAGAGCTATATTGTGATAACTACAAAAAGTAATTATCACTTGTTATTAACTCTATCATTTTGTGATTTGCTATTTTATATACTACCAAACATCAAGTCTCCTCCATGTTTTAACAAGGCAGCAGTTTATGCAGCTTAAGTGTGAAAACATGTTCCACCATTACGGAGAAGTGAAATAAATATAAGAGGAATTAACAAATTTCCAATGTCCTCTAGCATTTTATAGACAATCAAACTGAAAAAAGATCCCCGAGTATAATAGATGTTTAACAAATGTGCACTCAAATTTTATTCTTTAGGGCATCAAAACTGATAGCAAATCCAGCTTCATGCCTTACCGACCTGCAAAATTTACAATCCAACACACCAAAATAACAATTTAAAAATGTTAAATCTGCCAAGAAATGTAATGTGCCAGACCCAGAGCATTGAAATCAACCTAAACTTATTAATGAGAGGAAACCGTAGCATTCAGTAACGTAAAAGTTATAAAATAGTTGAATTAAGAAGGATCTAATTCAATGCTTTAACAATAAGCAATATTGTCAAGGCAAGAAGCATTATTATTCTAAAGAACGAATTTAGATCGGTTGTTCAGGTAAGCATAAAATTAGCAACTTGTACTTTACAATCAAGACATAAATGTATTTATTAACAATAATGAGATGTAAAGCAACTAAACAGCATTGCTTAAGTAACAAAGAAAACACCCAGATCTCATCTAACTTTGAGTTAATAAGACGCACTCAAAATTAAAATTAAAAAAACATACCAGTATCACATTTGACAGGAAGAGAGATGCAGAGAAAAGAAAAAAGAAGGAGAAGATGAAGGGAAGGAGAAGCCATTTTGTCCTTGCTCTTGTTTGTTTGTTTGTTGTTGCTGTTTATCAAGTTTGATGACTAAAAATAGAGAGATGACAAGGAGTAGGAAGCTTGTAGCTTTCTTCAATTACGTCACTCGAGTCTGTTTAAAAGTTTCTTTCTTTGTTACTTGTTTATTTATTTATTTTTCTAGTTAGGTGCTTGAAAGTAGTGTTTTTATAACGACATCGTACTGGTAAATCCATCCAAAGTCTAAACCACGAAAATTAAAAGTTAAAGATGTTATAAAAATGTACAAGTATATTTTTTAATCAAACACTAAATTATAAAAACTATACTAATAAAAAAATTTATTTATTTATTGTCCATGGGTTTATGAAATTTTAGTTTGAGTTTATAACAATAATCCCTCTACGCTATAATCAAATAACAGAAATCTCATATAATTATAGTAATAACAAAAATCCCCATTCTATCAAATTTTGAATATTAAAATAAATAGTAGAAAAATAATATAATAAATATTTATTAACATTTTAAATTCTAAACAATATACTAATAACTCATTAAGAACAAAAGAGTTTATGCTATTTCTAGAATATCAGGGAATTTTTTATTTATTGAATTAAACCTGAGGGGTTAAGAAATCCTCTTCAAGTTTTAACTAAAGCATGATTCATGAACAATGAATAATATTACATCAATAATTTTCTCTCACAAATTTTCTCTTACAACCCTGACGTGACAACTTGTATTAGTCAGTTCACAACGAGTCATATATGGGTTCCACTAATTAATTGTAAGTTGACTAATTGAGAGTTACCACGTCAGGGTTGTGAAAGAAAATTTGTAAAAAAAAGTCGTTGGTATAGTATTGCTCCATGAACAAGTTAATTAAATAATTAATTATATAGTATATAATAAACACTTGATCCACCGACAAGTAAACTAAACTCCGAATTTGTAACCTTTACTTAGAAAAAAGAAATATTTTCTTTTTCAATCTTTTTCTTATCATGTCACTTTCCTTTTGATTGGCATTTATATAACATAAGAGCAAACGCCATGTTCTCACCCAAAGTTTAGCTAAATTCAAGGTCCCCACCTGGTTTCATAAATTTCATATTACTATCCTTAAATTAATACCATTTATGGTTTTTGTTTTGGATTAGATACATCATAGATAATATTATTACCAAATTACCCTTGAAAAATAAATTAAAAATTATTTTTTAAACCACATATTTTCAAGTCGATTTGGTCGTTTCCTGGAGCTGACGACCTTCCCCAACACCATCCACAGCACCCCTGTCCATCCACCATCAAAACCTCACCCTCTTCTCCCGAATTCACCCACCATCACCTCTGTCGCTGTCCCCACCACAAGTTTGGAGAAGTTTGGTTTGTTTTGTGGAGTTGCTTTGATTGGTAGATTTTGGAGATTTGGGGGAATATTGATAATTGATTGTGTGTAGTTTTGAGAAGTTTAGATTGATTGTGATTTATTGATGTAAATTTCTAGAATTTTTGCCATTCCCAACTCATTCAAGCAATTTTCTTCCCCAGACATACACCAAGTGCTCGACAAACCCCACCCACCCACCCACCCACCACCCCATTGAGCACAAAAGAAAGGCAGTGGATGGAAAACGGTGAATGAGGGAAGCTGATGTGGGGGTGGGTTTTGAAGAGGGGATGATGGGGGGTCGAATGGAAGTGGTTGGGTGAATTTCCAATGAGTGAGGCAATCAGAAAGTGGCTACAAAGATGGAGGTTTGCGAAGTCGAATGGTCATCGTTTTCCAGCGAATGGAGGGTGATCTGGTGTGGGAGGAGGGTGAGGAAAGGTGAGGAGAAAGCAAAGAAGAGGGAGGGGCTGCTTTAGGTGGAAAGGTAGTTGGAAAAAGTCTAAAACGTCGACGGCGACGTCTGCTAATGTGCGCTGCCCCTGGCTAAAATGTGTCGGCCACTGTACAAGGGCGCTATAGTGCCCCACGCACGTGTTCGCCACCCATCCATTTGGTTTCAAGAATAAAATGACTATTTTACCCTTTAGTTGTTAGCTTAAACGATTTTTTGTTAAGGGTGAGAATTTGGAGTTTATGAAACTAAGGGTGAGAACCTGAGATTTCGCTGAACCTTTGGGTGAGAACATTTTGTTTACTCTATAAAATAATAATAATTTTTAATCTTTTGTACATGTTAAAGAAAGTATGAAAGAATGAGAAATAAAATAAAATAATACAAGGATAATTAATTTGTTGAAAAAACATTTAGAAATGAAGTGTCACTTTTTCTAATTCCTAAAGGACCCATATGTGTTTAATACACGAATAGATACAATAAGTGATTGAATGCATGGTTATATGAGCATCTCGATAATTACATTAATAGTTTAGCTATACTTAAAGCAACATCAATATTTATGTTGTAAACAATATCTAAGAAAAATGCTTTAAATCAATAACAAACCGAATAAAGCAATAGAAAAATGAGTTACCACCAATTACATGCCAATATGATAAATTTAATCTTAATTACGTAATTAAACTAGGTGGTAGGCCCGCACGTTGTGCGGGTAAGTTTATTGCTTGTATTTCAAGTATTGTTGTTTGTATATAATATAGTGTTGTTTATGAAAGTGGCTTTGATACCATGTTTGTTTGAAGAATTTGATGTTTCAGTTGGTTGATATCTATTACAGAGTTATAAACATTATGTAGATAGAAAACGATCCACTGAATCTCTTAATTATATTAGTTATAGATTACACAATTTACTGATATAATTAGAAGATTACACAATATAAAGAGTATCACAAAAATAATAGATTAATAAATATTTGTTATAGTATTTATGTGAATGTGAATTGTTTGTATTGAAGTTAATTTAATGTTGAATTAATAATTAAAGCAATAAATAATAAAGAAATTAAGAATAACAATTTGATATAAATATTACATGTGTAAAATATATATTTAAATAATTAAACAGGATTCAATGTATACCGATTTAATCCAAATAAATAATATTAAATAGTATGATTAATATTAACATTGTGAAGAGATATGCTTACCGAATTGTTGAATCCATTCCAATACATGAATCTTTTCCATGTAAAAAATAGCAATAAAAAATTAATTGATTTTGATATTACCATTGTGAAGAGATATGCTTACCGAATTGTTGACACCAACCGTATTGTTGAAACCAAATAACATAATGCGACAATAGGCGACTAACGATGTCATGATGGAATGGTATCATATCACATAAATATAGAAAAATATTTAATGAGAATGTGAAACATTTGTATTTATGTGAATATGAAGGGACAAACATGAATCTACGAACATGAATCTACAAATCTTCTTATTTGAATAAACAAAGTTTTAAGTAGACCTTTGGGATGCCACTATTTGATATTATATTTTTTTTTACTAGAATGTGAAGAGTCTACAGCTATCCAAATTTAGTATATAATATATATAATGAAAGCCTTGTCTACCTAGTTTCCAATGCTTCAATCAGTTCATCAATTGAACTTTTATTGAGCAAGTTATGACCAATTTACTATTGACTGTTCAGTGAAAACAAAGATTGATATCATATCTTTTTTACCAGAATGTGATGGTTTGGTAGCAAGGCAGACTCCATATCAAATTAAAGCATTGTCTATTTAGTTTTCAATGCTTCAATCCGTTCATCAATTGGATGTTTATTGAGCAAGTTATGACCAATTTACCATTGACTATTCAATGGAAACCAAGAAACAGAGAAAATCAAAATGTTTATGTATTTTGGTGATAGAAACATCCACGACTTGATTCCATTCCAATACATGAATCTTTTCCCTGTAAACAACAGCAACAAAAAATATTTTATTTTGATATTAATATTGTGCAGAGATATGCTTACCGAATTGTTGAGAGCAAATGTATTATTGAAACCAAGTAACATAATGCGACAATAGGCGACCATCGATGTCATGGTGGAATGGTATCATATCAAATAAATATAGAAAGATACTTAATGAGAATGTGAAACGGTTGTATTTATGTGAATATGAAAGGATAAACATGAATTTGCAAACATGAATCAATACATCTTCTTATTTGAATAAACAAAGTTTTAAGTAGACATTTGGGATGCCACTATTTGATATCATATATTTTCTACCAGAATATGAAGGGTCTATAGTTATCCAAATTCAGCATATAATATATCCAATTAAAGCCATGTCTGTCTAGTTTCCAATGCTGCAATCCGTTTAGCAATTGGACTTTTACTGAGTAAGTTATGACTAATTTACTACTGACTATTCAATGGAAACCGAGATTGATATCATATCTTTTCGACCAGAATGTGATGGTTCGGCAGTGTGAAAAATAGAGAACTAATTGTAATTTTATTATATATGTATTGATAAATTATACATCAATATATAGGAAAATAAAGAACTAATCTAGGAAACAAATAATCTAATCTAGGAAATGAATAATCTAACTTCCTATTTTACAGATTTGTTCTTAATATATATTGATTACAATCCTAATATCCTATTATAGATTTATACACTCCTATTTTACAGATTTGTTCCTATTACGTATTGATTACAATCCTAATATCCTATTATAGATTTATACACTTAATCATGCAATATCTGTAAGATTTTGCATGATTATCTACAACACTCCCCTTCAAGATGGAGCATAGATGTTAATCATGCCCAACTTGTTGCAAATATAATAAATCTGAACCTCATTCAAAGCTTCAGTGAAAAGATCTCCTAGTTGCTCTCCAGTCTTCACATATCTTATAGAGATTAAACTTTGCTGTATTTTCTCATAAATGAAATGACAGTCAATTTCAATCTGTTTAGTTCGTTTATGAAATACGAGATTAGAAGCACTATGAAGAGCGGCTTGGTTATCACACCACAATTTCGCTAGCAAAGAGGCCATAAGACCAACTTCAGTAAAAAAGTGATATATCCATATTACTTCACACATAGACTGGGCCATAGCCCTATGCTCCGATTCTGCACTAGACAGGGACACAACAGTTTACTTCTTTCTGCACTAGACCGGGACACAACAGTTTGCTTCTTACTTTTTCATGAGACCAAATTT